CATGCATTAACCAAGTCAGCGAGCCTGACCACCCAATCCCATTAGTCGCCTCTTACAACAAGCATAGTTGCCTTCTACGGCAAGCATGGGTTGCTGAAGACCTATTCTTCCCCAGACCTTAAGGGTCCAGCAGAAATTGTGCCATCATCATTCGCAACTTGTTGCCGCTATCACAACATATAATGGATATAAACCTCTCATCACTTGGTTGTAGTCACTCCAGCTTGATAACGTGTAAAAACCTACATCAAAACATTGCTAAATGCATTAAACTAGCAGTTGTTATCCATAAAGTTGTATGTTTTCCTACAGGCACTTCTTTCTTCAAGTTTGGTATGTGGGGGACATTTCATGGAGTCTCACCCCTCGATCCATCAGATCTTCTCATTCAACCAGCATAGGTTATTCTTACCCAAAATCAAAACAGCATGAATATATTTTTACATTTATTTTTTATTTTTTTAAAGAATTTAAACCAATGTTAATCACTGTTATCATTCAAAATATTGTTGGGTCGAAAAGCAGGAAGTGCAGATGAAACATATATACTTCCCTTGAACATCAATGTCATGGAAGTGTTGGGAAAGAAGCAGCCACAAGCATGACAAGGCATATGATAACATCAACACAAGACATGCTTCCCAAATTGATTCAAAGTGTTGAAACAAACACAAGGTTGTAACTAGCAACTATCTGCTATATCGTGACCCACGTATTTGATACATACATTAACAATGTACAACATATAGCCACAGATTGCACCAACTGTTTCTTTGACACAGAGTGTTAACAGTGATATCAGCACATCTCTGTTTATTGAACACCTGTCATGCTTGACAAATTATATGTAATATACAACCCAGGTACATAGAGATACATAAAGCTGATCGTTACATGCTAATTCGTCACTCCCAATGAGAAACATTTGGTTATACCATTGCCATATAGGTTCAACATCTGTGGAGAAAAGGTTGATGTTGTTTAAGCATTATAACAACCATTAATAATCAAATTGTGTCAATGCATTGTTGCAATATGACAACTAGATTATTTCCACAGAGAAACTGAACTGATATTTTTTATCCAGCTTTAAGGGTCGTCTATTAACATCATATAGTTTAAAAATTTTACCATGTTCATGTTGACATTTTAAGATGTGAATTTTTGGAAGTAGTATTAGAAATTGTAAGAAATTATGATTGGAAATGATAAATCAACCTACATCAACTTATTTTGGTTTGTTTGTTTGTTTGTTTGTTTTTTTGTTGTTTAACGCTGCACTCAGCAATATTCCAGCTATATGACGGCGGTCTGTAAATAATCCAGTCTGGACCAGACAATCTAGTGATTGACATCATGAGCATAGATCCATGCAATTGGGATACGATGACATGCATCAACCAAGTCAGCGAGTCTGAACACTTGATCCTGTTAGTCGCTTGTTATGACAAGCACAGTCGTCTATTACGACAAGCATGGCTTGCTGAAGACCTATTCTCCCTGGATCTTCATGGGTCTTTTGTTTGTTGATTAATGCCACACTCATCAATATTCCGGCAATGAGACGACGGTCCATAAATAATCATGTCTTGGTCAGATAACCCAGTGACTGATAACATGAGCATCGATCTACTCTTATGATCTATGATTACATGCTTCTTGGTTTAACCAAGCCAGACCTGTTTGATTGCCGAAGACCAATTCTATTCTAACCTAGATCTTCACAGGTCCAAAACATTTTTGAAAATGTTTATATGATAATATTCTCTTAAAATAAAAAGTTTTATCCCCTTGGTATGCAAATTATACGAAATAAAAAAAACATCAAATTTGTAGAGAAAACGATTACATGTACTCATCCTATGGAAATATCCTACCAATTTCTAGTTCATTCATCAAAATGAACTAATTTGATTTTTTTTTATAAAAGAAGGCATCTTAGGAGTTCAACACTCATGACTTGGTTTCCATGCACAAGAAGCGCATCAAGTTCCCTTTCCTTGTGACACGGCTTCCTTGAAGTTATACAACACTACTCATCCAGGACACTGAAGTAACACCCACACAACAGCTCTGTTTGTTTGTTTCTTTCTTTGTTTAATGCAGCACCCAGCAACATTCCAGCTATATGAAATCGGTTTGTAAATAATTGAGCATGGACCCGACAATCCAGCGATTGAGATCATGGGCATCGATCCACGCCATTGGGATACGATGACATGCATCGACCAGGTCAGTGTGCCTGACCACCCGATCCTTTTAGTCGCCCCTTACGACAGGCATAGTCACTTCTTACAACAGGCCTAGTCGCCTATTACGGCAAGCATGGGTTGCTGGAGACCTACTGTATCTAACCCTGATCTTCACAGGTCCACACCAGCTCTAAACAAGATCCTGCTGCACCAGTGTACATGGATTGTGAACAATTTTGACGTTGCTTTGAACTGAGACTCAAGTTTAAGAATTGAATAGCTGGTGCAGACAAACCCAGCATCATCTGATCCTGGCACAGCTATAAGGGAGACAACCATGCAGTACCATAGATATCTGGGTCCCCCGTGCAACCTACTCCTACAATGCATATATGCTGCCTGTGATGTCTCACAAATATTTGAATGCATACTTCTATAAATTTGTCAGTTTCCTATCAGAGCAACAGTTAAAGACACAGAACCAAAACCTGACGTTCATTAACAAATATGCTCTATTTCAAATACAAAAATTGATGTCATGCAAGTTTTATTTAAGAATTCTTATTAACAGAATTTAGACATTTTCCATTTTAAGTCTGACCGCCTCCATGGTCTAATGGTAGAGCGTCTGCCCGGAGAGCGGAGGTCCGGGTTCGATCCCCAGCCGCGTCATACCAAAAGACGTTAAAAGATGGTACATTGTACTTGTTGTTACCCTGTCTGGCGCTCGGCATTAAGGGGCTAAAACAAGGACTGGTCGGCTCGGAGTCAGTATACTGTGTCTGAGTGGGGTATTCATCTTAAACTGCGGCATGGTATCTCAATGTGCTAGCACTATGAATCGGCATCAGTCCGGACTAGTACAGGCAGCCACACACACAGATACACGTGCATGCACGTCGCTATATAAGTGCAATAATCTTGGACGCGACGCTAAACCCCATTTCACCTCACCTCACCATTTTAAGTCTGATCATGTTGATCAACATTTTCAATATTTCATTAATACAACTAACAATATCGATAATGATAGTTCACTCTACAACATAACATTCTCAAATTAACAATTAAACCAGCATTAGTCTGGACTAGAACAAGCAGACACACACACTGCATGTCACTATAAAAGTGCAGTAATCTTGAACAAGCTGTTAAACCCCTTTCACCTCAGCTGAAATGAATCTTCACTACACTGACCTACATCCTGGGTGTTACAGACACTGTAGTATTGCATAGTGCAGTGTCACTTAGGGAAACAAAGTAATTCAATTACACAAGGAAGAAATCTATTATCAAGGGAGGCCACTCCCGCCCAGTCTCATATCAAGGGGTCACTGTTTGTAAGATACAAACAGAGTTTTACCATTTATAATTACTATCTTTACTCAAATGTGCATTTTTCGAAAAGGCCATCAGGTAGTGGTGATTTGGACGTTTTCTGACCCTTTATACAGCAGGGTTTTATCCCCCTAGAGTAAACTAATGACAGAGGTCCAGCTGCTGTCAGAAATACTGAAGCTTTATCAGGACTGCCCATTTAAGTTCAATTGTTTTGATTAGACAAAACAATGAGGAACTGGTTTTAGGCTTGTTACAGCCATATCAGAGCAGAGGAAAACAGGGACGAGTTTATATATTGTAACCATGTGAGGAGTAGAACCTGGATCTTCATTGTGGTGGTAAGGCGTTTGAACCGCTAGGCTACCGTGGCTGTGAATTATCAGTTCAGAATGGTAGTTGATAATGTCCTATAATGTTTTACAAGAGGCACTCACAGGTAAGGAGGCATGGAAGTGATGTCTGAACTGAATGTCAGACTGACTTGCATGTCGACCGGTTGGGATTCCAGGTGAAAATATAGGTCTCCAGTGACCTATGAGTGTCATAAGAGGCGACCAAATGGATTGTCAGGGTTTTGTTTTGTTTGTTGTTTAACGCTACTCTCAGCAATATATAACTAGCCCCAAGCTCATTTTAAATTAGTATGGAAAATAACTAGATTTGGAAGAAAATGTCTATACGCAAGAATTTCACTCGGACATGTGGTGGTGCCTAACCCTGTCTGTGGTATTGCAAGCTTTCAGAATACAGAGAAGCTTAGTGCAATTACTCGTGACCCAAAGTACCCATACATAATGCTTAACCTTCCATACAAGGCTTTGACGACGTCTCGCAGCGCGCAGTGGCAGTTAGTTTGTTCTAATGCCTGACAACCACTGACTGGGCCATATTCCATCCTTCGTTGTTGGGCCTTTTAATTATTAATACCTCCACATAATCAGGCCTATATATGCTTTAATTCCATACCAATCTGGAATGTGATTGTAAATTACTGAAGTTATGCAAATGTTTTCACAATGTTCGTGACAGGCTTTTTGACATATGTCAGATAGAAATTTAGTGTATGCACAGTGAAATGGAGACGGCTGGTCAAACATATAATTTGTGAGCATTTTAACATTCAAACCGCTGGCAAAGTCAGCCAAAATGCTCTCTTATCATAATAAAGCCAAACATACATAATTCATTCTGTAGATGAGGCAATACGATGGTACAGAACACAACGCTTAGCGATAGCAACACAAGCCCGCATCACTTCCGCACAAACCCTGGCCGTTTTGTTTACATCTACGCAAGAATCCTACTATAAATAACACGGGGAATAATAAAATCTCTGCCCATACGCCATGTTATCTGTCGTTTATTTGCAAGTGTGTGTGATGCTCTGTGTTTCTAGTTTCGATCTGCATGCGAACAGGCGAGGGAATGTCTCAATATCGTGCAACAACAAATCAATGGTTTACTCACCTAATTTTTGGTTGAATATTTTGTCAAATGTGACTTCATTCATTTTGGTGAGATGCTTGTGCATGACGCTCCGAACGCTGAAAAATAACAAAATAATCGAATTTCATTTCGAGTAAATATTACTCCATAATCGTTTTCATTGAAACGGAACCTGTTTGTCATCTGAATACACGCACTCGACATTTGTCCGGAAATCGTTGAAACGGGAGAAAAACACTAACCTTGGCTCTGGAAGAACAATCTTCTTGCTTGCTCTGGCTGCAGGAGTCGACTTGCTCTTCTCCATCGCCATAAGATAGCTAACATCGGCCAGAACTGCTTCCAAATCCGCCATTTTGATGAGCTCGCTAGGCCAACGAAGCGACTGGACAGAAAAATCCGACTGTTTAGTATCACTGACGACAGATATTTCACCCTGTCTAACGGAATCTAGCCCCAAAACATCATCAAGGACGATATGTCGTCCGGTGGGGCACAACACACACCTCGTCCGGGTCTAGAGTAGAGTTCCAGAGCGGGCTAGCAGTATCGTCTGAGCTGCACTGTTCAGGAGAATCGACATATGTAAATATTAATTAGAAAGGTCGCGAGCAGTGCAACATGGGAAATCGGCAAAGGCATGTAATCGGGCCGCGGACAGTCGCAATGCCTACGCTTCAGAGATCTCCTGTCGATTGATTTTTGAGCGCATATGATATTTGCCCTATATTAAAGAATATGCAGCAGTACCTAGTATACGGGGAATGGCGACATGATAAGCGAGAGCGTTCGTCCACCGCGCATGTCCGCGGATATTTCCTCATCACTTATGTTTATGAATGTCGTGGTTGCTTCAACCCCTAAAGCTTACGTCGCACAATAACGGGGCTTACTATATACCAATGAAGCGGTTAATGGCTTAAGCTTTCAGTTGTATCAATTTCAAAGTTGCACCGGCAGTTTTTTGGACGGTTAACTGGAGAAAGTGCTTTCACACACAATTTCATGTTTCGAAGGATCCGGACCAGCTGATCACACACTTTCCTTCGCAACAGGAAACCCGTGTTTACAGCATGCAAAAACTGTCCTTATTTCGAGACACGATATTTCGAATTTGATTGACTGAAACTATTCTTGCAAGGCCAGAAAAAAACATCTGACAACTAGTAAATATAATGCTTACAAACATTACACCTTGGTCATAATACCTCGCGATGTTCAAAACAGTTGTATTAAAAATATATGTTATGTTTATATATTTTAAGGTTTTAGGTTAAAAAACGTTCATTTAAGACCTTTCTACAAGTACAATTGGTCTGTTACAAGATGCATATTATAATATATATATATATATATGTGTGTGTGTGTGTGTGTGTGTGTGAACGTCGTGACGATCCCGGGTTACTTTGATCACCAGCAACTGCTGGTCGTAAGAGGCAACCAAATGGGGTCATTTGGTTTATAGCGTGTCCTCGTACACCGACGAAGTGGATCGTTGCTCACAATATCGATCACTAGATTGTCTTGTCCAGACTCGATTATTTACAGACCGCCATCTGTAAATTTGTAGGGTGAGGCGGTAGCCAACAAACAAACATATAAATACAAAAACGTAATTATATTTAATTTATTCAGAACAACATATAAAACGACTCGTTTCTGATTTACGACTCATCATTGTTAAATCTCACAGTGCGATGTCATTAGGTAGACTCCCATCTATTCATATACACATCCAAGGGAGAGACCTGTATCAATCTGGCGGATAATACTCCCAACATGGATTTGCGCCAGTTTCAGGCAAGGGTGTGGTCAGTGTATAATAATAGCAATATATGAAACTAGACCATTGTCCTCATTTCATGAGATTAATCATTAACTGTACATAATAAAGCATAACATAAAAACCAGAGTAGGAAATGGCTGTTATGAACTCAACTTCTCCCTGAATGAGCTTATGATATTTGCGTTGGTCCGTCTCGCAGCCGCCCTTTCCTCGCGTTCGTTCGTCTGTATACTGTAATCAAAGCTCTTATCAATAACTACCTGTTAAATCAATATCGCCCTTGAATAATATCATGTTGTATTTAAATGATAAGATATGTGTATTTATCAAAAAAATTAAAATCAATATCTCGTGTGAAATTATGCCGGATCTACTTATACTTTGCTCCAATGAATGAACTGAATCTTATTTCACCCTTGGCTACAAGACATAGCACGGTTTTCAGAGAGTATTCGGGTTTTTGTTTGTTTCACGTCATTCTCCGCCATTTTCAATTTTCACGAAGAATTCTGACACTCGTTGCGTTTTGTTTTTTTGTTTGTTGTTTAGCGCCGTATTCAGCAGTATTCCAGCGTATATAATGGCGGTCTGTAAATAATCGAGTCTAGACCAGCTAGTCTAGTGATTGACGTCATGAGCATCGATCCACGCTGTTGGTATACCATGACATGCAATCAACCTGACTGCCGAGCCTGACAACCCGATCTATTTAGTCGCCTCTTACGATTACGACACTCCTTGACTGCCGGTTGCATATTCTTACTCTGAGTCAACATGGGGAAATATGGCGAATAAAAATATGCTTTAAAAATAAAACACATTGTCTTTTCCTGCCAAGTGACATGTTTATCTCAACACGTGACCAGCCATTCATGAAAATATCAACTTTGTCAGGTCACTCGATGTGATAAATATATTGCAATACGATATTCTTCTCACATGATTGTTGGTTCGTTTGTTGTTTAACGCGACACCCAGCAATATTCCAGCTATATGACGGCGGTCTGTAAATAACTGAGTCTGGACCAGACAGTTCAGTGATTGATATCATGAGCATCGATCCACGCAATTGGGAAAAGATTGGTTGGTTGGTTTGTTGTTTAATGCCGCACTCAGTAATATTCCAGCTATATGACGGTGGTCTGTAAATAAACACGTCTGTGACCTTTTGGAAGTAGTATTAGAAAGTGTAAGAAATTATGATTGGAAATGATAAAATCAACCTACATAAACTCATTTTGGTTTGTTTGTTTGTTGTTTAATGCCGCACTCAGCAATATTCCAGGTATATGCCAGCGGTCTGTAAATAATCGAGTCTGGACCAAAAAGTCCAGTGATTGACATCATGAGTGTCAATCCACGCAATTGCGATACGATGACATGCATCAACCAAGTCAGCGAGCCTGACCACCCGACCCCGTTAGTCGCCTCTTACGACAAGCAGGGGGGTGCTGAAGACCTATTCTACCCCGGAATATTCGAGGGTCAATTGGGAAAAGAAGACATGTATCAACCAAGTCAGCGAGCCTGACCACCCGATCCCGTGGGATCGCCTTTTACAGCAAGCGTGGGTTGCTGAAGACCTATTCTACCCCGGAATCTTCACGGGTCAATTGGGATAAGAAGACATGTATCAACCAAATCGGCGAGCCTGACCACCCGATCCCGTTAGTCGCCTTTTACACCAAACATGGGTTGCTGAATGTTTCTACTTATTAATAAGTGGCAAATTTAAGATATTACCCATCGAGTATAATACTTTTCACAGTGCCTTATATTAAGTATTATCATTTAATACCATCATCATTAGAAATAACCGAGTTCATAAAATTCGTATGGGCACTATTGTCTCCCCACTTGAAACAAAATCACGAACTAACAACGTGATGAAAATCCAATGATGTTTATTGCTAGCAATATGGATACTTCTTGAAAGAGCGCACTTTGCATTTTTGTCGTAACTGTAAGTAATATTCCTTACCCCCTGAATGACTTTTTTTTCACTTTATAAGTACTAGCACCATGACGATGTCTTCGTTAATTAATCATCGCGATATTTCGTGATTCTTTTTCAAGTGGCGAGGACTTTATAGAGGATATTCTCGTGAAAATATCTCCCCCCCCCCCCCCCCCCTTTCACTCGAAGAGAGAAAAATCTTACAATATGAACAAAAGTATAAAAAAATATTTAGAGTCACGAAAATTTACCATACATTTAGATATTATTATATACAAAATCAACTTTAACCAAAAAAAATATTCTTGAAAACTAGGAGACCGTTGCTGAAAGCGAAAGAATACACGCTGATCAGGCAACAAAAATGGCGCTTTGCGAAAAGAACGGTCTCGATTGACGAGTTAAATGAGAAATTTACAGTTTATAAGGAAGCATTTTCGAGAGAACAACAAACGACAAGAAGTGATATTAACTCCATAAACGACTGTCTATCATTATTTTTCCTTGTCAATGTGGACCTAACGTAAAAACAACGTCAACAGTTTGTGTACGGGCTAGTCACTTACGACAAAGGGAGACAATGTAAAGGGAGGTAATTCTTGTATGACAATAGTTCCGCCAAAGTGTTATGTTAACTGCAGTAAAATATCAAGTGTAATGTTCACTGCAGTGATATGTCAAGTGTTATGTTCACTGCAGTGAAATGTCAAGTGTTATGTTCACTGCAATGAAATATCAAGTGTAATGTTCACTGCAATGACATATCAAGTGTGATGTTCACTCTTTCACACTGAAATATATATAATAAAGAGCAAATATCACATCATGATCACCAGTGTATTGTTTACGCATTGTTGACGTCATTCTAATCTTATTGTGGCATATGGCAGGAATGACGTCACACTGAAACGACGCCACGGCTAAAGACTGTTGATGTCATTCGACAATTGTGGTTTTCAAAGGCGGCGGTCGTGATCAGTGAATTTATCTTAAAACACAAAGCGGAGTTCAAAAGGATACTAAATGATAATTTCTCGCTCGGGAAAGGCAAATAATTCTGACACGGTGCATTTGTTTGTTTGTTGTTTAACGCCGCACTCAGCATGACTCATATATGACGGCGGTCTGTAAATAATCAAGTCTGGACCAGACAATCCAATGATAGATGTCATCAGCATTTATCTACATAATTGGGATACGATGACATGCATGAACCAAGTCAACGAGCCTGACCAACCGATCCCGTTAGTCGCTTCTTACGAAAAGCATGGGTTGCCAAAGACCTGTTCTAACCGGAAATTCACGGTACCCGTTTCGTAAAATCAGTATGCCACACCTGCTCGTATATAATAATCTCTATGTTGTAAGTGCACAGTGACCTGTTGTCGAGAGCAATACGTTATGACGTCATCCATTATTCACGTCACGATTCTTTAGCATTACCTTATCAGAAACATGTACTTCAGTGAAGCTTCTCTGCACGAGGGGTTTATATTTCAAACAATTTATTCCAATCTTCCTTTCTCGCACTACCAGGGTGGGTGACACCAAGAATGGGCCTTGCGCAGGAAATCAAACCCGGGTCTTCGGCGCGACGAGCCAACGTTCTAACCATTAGGCTACCCAAACTCTATTTGTTTTGTCCTTCTCAAGTGTCAGAGTAAGGTATATAATAGCCATGCCCCAACTCGGAATTATGAATAATTTGTTCCTGGAGATTTACACCACAGTTCACTCTGGAGCGATAATCCGTATATCCTCGTAACGCCTTGGACATTCTCGAATTCATTATGGGAGCCGAAATATGTAAAGAAACACGGAATATGAATTGAAGCACCCATAATATCCTAGAATGTCTGTTCAGGATGCAAAATAATAATTTCTCGCTCAGGGAATACAAAAATTCTGATACCCGTTGCGTCATAACATATACCACTGCAGCGCATTGTCTTTTTTTAAATCATCCATCTCAATTGAACTTCTGTACCTTTGCACTCTGGTTATTATCATATCACTTCCATGAGTGAGTGAATTGTGTTATGCTCTAAA